TTTTTAAATAAATTAATTTATTTTAATGTCATAGTAAAACTCCTTAAAATTGCATAAGAAATTGTTATAATAAATTTAATATTTTTTAGCTAATTAGTTGGTCATGATCCTCAAAATTACAAAAATTACATTATTTATTTCATTTTATGCAATCAATATGGTGATTCATAGGCAATCAAATTGTTATGTACTCTTTATTTTAATTAATGATGAAATTTTAAAACATAATAGCATTATCTAATTTATAATTTTAATATTATATGCATAAATATAGCTTATAATATTCTATGTTTAAAATATAACATAAATTATTTAACTTACAATTTTAATATTATATGCATACAAATAACTCATAATATATTATTTACACTGTGAAAAGCAAGATTGAATACTAGTATATATATAATTGTTAGCTTAACAATAAATTTTACCTAATAAATTTTACCTTTGTGGCAAATCATTAAATAAAACCTAACAAATAGAACCTAATAAATTTTACTTATGTAGCATTAATACACCATATCTCATTAATAATAAAATATTTCATTACACTTAATTAAGACACAAACTATTATATTTTATGTTAATTGAGTAATAATTATATTTTTTATTGAATCATATAATAGTTTTTATTGAATCGTATAATAGTTCATATTAAAATTAGTAAATATATTTTACACAAAATGATATATAAAAGTTACATAAAAATATCTTTCACAAAAGTCAATATTATATTTTTTATATGATTAAACGATTTTTTTAAATAAATTAATTTTTTTATGTCATAGTAAAATTTCTTAAAATCACATAAGCATGTATTATAAATCTTATATTTTTCAGCTAATTAGTTGATCATGATCACTCAAAATTACAAAAATTATATATTTATCACATTTTATGCAATCAATATAGTGATTGTATACAATATAATAGTATGTACTCCCTCCTATCTTTTTTATTTGTCATTCTAGCAACTAGCACTCTAATTAAGAATTTTTGTTGTTGCCAATATTATCCCTATTTAATGAACATTACTACTCCATTAAGTAACACAATTAATGATGATTAGTGTAAAAAGTAAATAAAGATTTGTGAAAAATCAAGAGATAGATAGAATATGAAGAGACAGTTAAAATTGGAAAAATATGAACAAAATAGTCAAAATGACATTTATTTATCCAATAGTCAATTAAGCTAGAATGACAAATAAAAAAAATAGGAGGGAGTAATATTTATTTTAACCAAACGATCAAATCCTAAAATATAATACTATCATCTAATTTATAATTTTAATATTATATGCATAAATATAACTTATAATACTATATGTTTGAAAAGTAATACTATTATTTAATTTATAATTTTTATATTAAATGCATAAAACAACTTATAACTTTTAATTTTTTGTATCTGTGCATCTGGTCGAATACTAGTAATTCTACAGAGGTGCAATTTGATAGTA